ATCCCAATAGTCCTCCGCGTCAAATAAAATCCGCCATGTTTCTTTTTTTTCTCTTTCATTATTCTCTCCTATTCTCGTACTTTCTCGTTCATCAACTCTCGTTCTTCCCTTCCCGCTTCTTCGAAATATCGTATGATATATGAGTTTGGATAGATTCGACAGAGAAGACAATATTTTTTTTTTTTTTTTTCATATTTTAGATTTTAATTTTTCTTTCTGGTGAAAAGGGAGACAGGTCCGAACTGTCGTGATTTGATTATCAATCTTAGTTTTATGTAAACCTTTGTCATCTTTCAATATTTTTTTTTATTTTTGGAATTCAGTTCGAGCATTTATTTCTGTAGGATGTTTCTGATTATTTTCCCATTTATTTAAAGTCTTTTTTTCTTTCCCCTCTTCATATTAAATCCTTGCAAACGCGCAGAAACATAGTCATTGTACTAACAAGCAAAAATAAACAAAATAAATAAACAAAATTTAGCCAGAAAAGTCACGTACACTGGAGTTTGCAATATTCGTAGCCTCCCCGTGTAATAATGTTTTGAAAATCGCGAATGGTTTAAAATGCTGAAGATGTTAACCCCCAAAAAACGGGACAAAATTCAAGAAATAGTGTATTTTATTCTTGTTATGTAGGGGTTTAAATAAACTAACTGCAACATGTCTGTGCGTTTAATCGTGCTTTTAATATTGCTACCTACCAGTTCGCCTACATCGCAACCATATGTGACAAAAAGTCAAGTGGATCAATCGGCCGTGCTGTACAAAAATTCACAAGCGCCGAGCAATAAACCTAGCCCACTCCCGAGGGAGAAGTACTTACCTGGAGAGAAAGGCTGGAACATACGAATCCCAACCAAGATCAGGGTGTTTTTAAAAGTTATTCCAATTTGACACTTCTTTTTTTATGTGCCGTGTCATTTCAGGACGTAGGCGTTCATGGCCCTCCACTTCTACCTATGCCTTGTAGCTCTCAATAAATTTCGTCTCTCTGCTTCCTTCCCCAGACCACTTTCTGTCATCCACTTGTTTAAGCTCGCCAGGTATATCATGCGTTGCTTTTCTCTTTTCCTCTATTCGACCGGTGAGTATTAGATTCTCCAGGCCTTCTTTTCTCATTATGTGTCCCAGAAACTTCAGCTGTCTCTTCCTGATGTCTACCTAACATCAAGCCTCCTCCTTGTTTGCATCCTCTCTAAAACCTCACTGTTGCTCACACGCTCGGTTCATGATATCCTCAGCATCCTTCTGTACAGCCACATCTCAGTCGGCTTGAGTCTCTTCTTCATCTTTGAGGAGACCGTTCAACATTCGCTGCCGTAAAGGACAGATGTCACGTAGCAGCTCACTTTGTTACCAAAGAGATCCTCCTGTCTCGCAATACTCTGCCCAGCTTTTGTCGCATTTTGGAAGGAAAGGCTTGAACATACGTATCCCTGCCAAGGTCAGGGTTTTTTTTAAAATAGTTATTCCAATTTGACATTAGTTTCCTTAAACCTTTTTTTAAGTGACAGAGAATGTAATTGAAGGAGTGAAGACAAGACGAAATAGGCAAAATTTTAGTAAACGTTATTTTTTTCGGTTATTAAAAAGGCCAAGCAGGGCAAAGAAGGGTCTGCTATTTAATCGATCCTGACCTGGCATCTCGACCCCAGATACTTTCTCACCGATGTGATGTGGCTTTGCCACTGTCATTTCTACAAATAATTCTATGGCAATTGTTCTGATAACCTTTGTTCTCTTGTCACTCGAGTGCATAAGTTTAAGCGTTCTGCTACTTTGGCAATTAGGTCTCACGGTTTTACAACCATAGATGCAACCGTAAGTTCTATTCTCAAAGAACATTTTCTTGCACCTCTTGACTGTGGAGCTCATTTTCCATCTTTTTGTCTGTTAATTTCTTGCTTCTCTGATAATTTCAAATAATTTCTTGCTTTTGTAATAATTTTTTGCTTCTGCGATAATTTTTATTAATTTCTTGCTTCTCTGATAATTTCTTGCTTCTCTAATAATTTTTTGCTTCTGATAATTTTTGTTAATTTCTTGCTTCTCTGATAATTTCAGATAATTTCTTGCTTCTCTGATAATTTCAGATAATTTCTTGCTTCGCTGATAATTTCTTGCTTCTCTGATAATTTCAGATAATTTCTTGCTTCTCTGATAAATTATTGCTTGTCTGATAATTTCAGATAATTTCTTGCTTCTGTGAAAATTTCAGAAAATTACTTGCTTCTCTGATAATTTCTTACTTCTCTGATAATTTCTTGCTTCTATGATAATTTCAGCTAATTTCTTGCTTCTATGATAATAATTTATTGGAACGAAATTCCAATTTCTAGGCTCATATTTCATTTCGATTTGTTTATTTTCGTAGAAGCTTTCCAGAACAACAATTAAGTTTTAAGAAAATCCTCATAAAGAACTGCGAAACCGATTTCTTTCGCTTTTTGTTGGCCAAGATCTTTCACCAATCGCGATAAACCCATCTTTACCGATGGATCGTATGGACAAAGTTTCACTTGAGGTCTGGGTTGAGTACCTCACTATTGGCAATAGACACGCAAAGCAAGGCGTCATCTCTTCTGAGGAAACACAAGGTTATCGCTTCTCTATCGACATTTCAGGCAGACTACATTCCTAAGTTACACCAGTTTGAGAGTATTCTTGCATATATATATATATATGTTTGTGCGTGTGTGTCTATTTTTAAAAAAATAGATCAGCCAATCACGTTACCTTGGTTTGAACCTTTCGGTATCGTCAGGGTTATAGGCTGAATTTGCCCTATAACGCTGTTTGGCCGTTAGTGCCTGACAAAAATGAAATGTGCATAAAAGAAGAATTGCTGTCTAATACACACACACACACACACACACACATATATATATATATATATATATATATATATATATGTATGTGTGTGTGTGTGTGTGTGTGTGTGTGTGTGATCAATACAAATATAAAATTTTTCAGATGAGTTATGTTATATTCACCAGTCCGCCTCCAGAGTTTCGTAGACGAACCTTTTTGTAATCATTTGGTTCACTCGTCAGGAGATCTCAGCAATCGATTGTGCCTTCATACTATTCATTTGCTGAACAGGGTAAAGGAATATCCTCTTCTTCTTTGTGATGTGTCACGTCATGACATCAGCTATCATGGCTCTCCACACTTTCTATCCTTTGTAACGTTTTTCTTTTTACCACACCTCTCCATCCATCCCGCCACCCATTCACCCAAACCCTTTAGGTAGATGGCTTGCTGCCTACTAGTGTCCACTTTTTATCCCGTTACTGTCACCTTCTCTGTCCCCTTTTTGTGTCAAAGAAATTTCAACTGAGATTTTCTTATTCAAATCCTTAATGTTTTTTCCTAAAAGCATTCTCGTTGATTACACACACCATTCTCGTCATCCTTCTGTAGATCATACATCTCGGTAGGCTTAAGTATTCTCTTCATATATGTGGAAATTGTCTAGTATACATTGCATATTTGTTCAAAAATGTCCTGTTTTTTAATACTGTGCTTAGGTTTTGGAAGGCATCTTAATGCGAAAGTGAAATGATCCATATTGGATCAATATTGGATCGATGATTAAATAACTATTGATCACAGGTGGTCAACTCGACAGTGGACCGTATGAAACTTTTCCAGCCACTTTTGATAGTTTTGAGCATACACATAACCTTCTCCATAGACTAAATGAATCAATTTGTGCGCTTGATTCAGGTTTGGATTTTCTTTAAAACAATCATAATATGCCGGAATGTTTTTTTTTTCTTTCAAGAATTAATAAAACGAAATACGCCAATTTTAACGAACTAGAGTATCCGTTCTGTCAACATTGACGGCACGAATGAATGTATTATAACTAATAAGTATTATATTGTAAGTAATTTTCGTTTAATTCTAATACGACCCCGTTATTTTAAATAGTTCGTTGTGAAAGTTAATAATTGTACAGTGTACAATTTATAAACACCGAAGAAAAGATATCAGTATTTTTCCTCATTTTGTACGTACGTTTTTGGGTCACACCTTGGATGTTCTTGAAAGTCAAATTAGCTGAGGAATTAACGCATCATCGCTAGAGATAATCGATCCCAAAATCCAAGTCACCGTGAAGAAAGGTAACTTTACGCGAATTTTAATCCAAGATGAAATAAACTATAGACCTCTCTATGTCTTTCTATTTCCTCTCTCTCTATCTCTCTTTCTTTCTTTCTTTCATTCTTTATTTGCAGTTGTGTATCTGTTTCCTTTCGCTTTGATCGTAAATCGCAGAGAGAGGGAAAGAAGAGAGCTGCGTTGTTGTTTGTCAGCGCGGTAGCTTTTTGCGTGTGGACGTGAATGGGGTCATGACTTCTGTGCATCTCATGTCAAAATTTTGCTCACTGCCCCTCAATTGTTTCACACATAAAACACACACACACAAACACGCACACACACATATTTAGTTGGACTGATGTGAGCTTGTGACCCTGGGTTTCACGCTATTTGCGATCGTCAGAAAAAACTGATTAATTTTTAAATATGGATTTATAATATTGAGCGGTTTCCAATAAGTACCGCGCATATATAATATATAAATAATATATATAAAAATTGCATATATAATAATAATAATGGGCTCTCCCGTCGGTTTCGACGTATGAGGATCTGACAGCTTATTCCGTTATGAAAGTTTGTGCGATAATCTTAAGTGGCATTTAAGACCCGCTAGTGATTTACAAAGGAGGCCACATATGGAGCAAGTGTGAGGATTGGGAGATGAGATCACTGTTAGATTGGCTGACCTTTTAGATATTGCTATTGCTACTTGAAGATGATTTAGACATACAGATTGAAAACACGTTGATCCAATAAAACACGTTGATCTCCATTCTACCTGCTCCAAGGCTAAGCGCTCAAGGTTGTTATGTGGAATCTTGACTGCTGACAAGTTGCTTTTCAGCTTGTCTTTGTATCTTAGCCATGGGCGTCCTACATTCCTGTAGCCCTGATCTAACTGGCTGTACATTAGGATCTTGGGTATCCTGTCATCAGACATTCTCAAGACATTACCAGTCCACCGTAACTGAGAATGTATGATAAAAGTCTCGATTCCTCCAATATTACACTTGTTAAACAGGTCTACCTTAGATGTCCTGTATTGAAGGTTAACTCCACAGATTGCACGCAGACAGCTTTTATGGAAAACATGCAGCTGGCGAAAATATATATATATATATATATATATATATATATAAATATATATATATACAATTAGAATAAATCCTAATGAGCCAGGCAAACCTACCTAGGTTTCACCCATTTTGAAATGAGAAGTGTTAAAAAATGTCATAAATATATGGCAGGTGACAAGTTTTGTTGATGATGCATGGAAGAAAAATTAGCAATTGTCATCTATAAGGAACCTAACAATTTATTAAATAAAAGATCCGAGATATTTAATAAGTGTAGGAATAGGAGAGCCTGGTTCTTAGAATATTGAATTGGGTTTTCTTCACTTTTTTTTTGTCACGGGGTTTTATGTTTCTAATGGTTTTATCAATAAATACTCTTCCGCCATTTCTTTTTTTTTAGCCAGTCTACCCTGAAGATCCGTTTAGGTGAAACCTAGGTAGGTTTGCCTGGCTTGTTAGGATTTATTCTAATTTACCGCTCTACTTAGCGTGTTGTGCACTCTTCGTTTTTGTTGTCTTTATACTCGAGGTGCGGGTATCTTTGGACTAAGGACTTAAGTCACTTGATTTTTTTCGCCTTCTTCTGAAGTTTTTAGTTCTTTCTTTTTTTTTCTACTTACAATTTTTCCCTTGGGTACCAATTTACCCTCAGGTGTCTACAAATTGAGTCATCCGAGGTTTTTCAAGCGAGTAATACTGTTTATATAGTTATATACATACACCCCTCACACACATATAGTTATATACATATACATTTTGCACACACGCACACACACACACACATATATATACAGTTATATACATACACATTTTACACACACACACACATATATATACAGTTATATACATGCATATTTTACACACACACATATATGTATATAGTTATATACATACACATTTTACACACGCACGTACATATATATATATATATATATAGTTATATACATACACATTTTAGACACAAACATATATATATATAGTTATATACATACACATTTTACACACACGCATACACACACATATGTATATAGTTATATACATACACATTTTACACACGCACATACATATATATATATAGTTATATACATACATTTTACACACAAACATATATATATAGTTATATACATACACATTTTACACACACACACACACACACACACACACACACACACACACACACACATATATATATATATATATATATATATATATATATATATATATATATATATATATTTATATTTTTTCCAATGAATTCTGTATAAACTAAAGCCTCTTAAGGATCTCTAGGAATAAACATAACCAGCATTTTGAAATAAATATCTCAATGATACAATAATAAAAACGATGCTGATTTATTTTAAGTTTAAAATCTAATAAAAAGTAACAAATGAGAGAGAGAGAGAGAGAGAGAGAGAGAGAGAGAGAGAGAGAGAGAGAGTGAGTGTGTGTGTGTGTGTGTGTGTGTGTGTACTGTTCCTGTGGGTGGTTGACTGTCTTTTGCAACCCTCGGGTGAGAAACTCCTGACTTTACGTTGATGTTGAAAGGTTTTTTGTCTTTTTCTTTTTTTTTATCCACACAAACCAAACAAGCAATTGCGTCTTGTGTTCTCTTGTAATTGATGTCAGGCCGATCCTAATTTCGTCAATTAAAAGTATAATGAGCAGACGAACAGTTAAGGCTCTTTTAATGGTGGCTCTGTCACGAGCCATTTTATCTTACAAGGCACCAGTTCACCATTGATAATACTTAAGTAGAAATGGCACCAGAGAGAGTTAGGCTTGGGTGTTTCCAAACTCCACCAATGTCTAATATAAAGTTTGCTTTCATTAGCACCGTTTCTTTCTTTTTTAAAACAATAATAATAATAATCAATCAGTAGACTAAGAAAATTATTAATATACAAAATGGACGATCTGATTTCATTAACAATATTACAGCAATAAAAGTCCCATTAACCAGTCAGTATTGGCAATTTTTTAAGTATATCCTTATATATTTTAAGAGCGATGTAGAATGGAGTGGAACGAACGAATAGCGTTTTGTACTGAATTTCGAAGACAATATTTAAATATATGAACATAGATTTATTCAACCGCATATATTTTAATCAATTCTCCCTAAGCAAGGCGACAATGTTTTTAAATTCAAGTGGTTACTGAAAGTGAAAGAGAATAAAAAAAACAAAAAACAAACAAAAAAACTTTAAAATGAACCTAAAACCCAATTCTTAACAAAAAAACAAGGGATAAACCTCTACTCCTTTTGAAAAGAACGAGGAGGAGTATGAACCGTACATATCGGTGTAAAAAAAGTAAATAAAATTTCTTAGTTTAGGAGGAGACGTTAGAAGAATAGAGGTCTTTAGAAGGAACCGGAAACCTAATCCTAAACAAGAAACAAGGGATAAACCTCTACACATTCAAAAAACCTATCTAATCCTACTAAACGAAGAAAATAAATAAATAACATTTCAGAGTTTAGGCAGAGACATTAGAAGTATAGAGATGAAGTAGACTTTAGAAGGAACCGGAAAGCCAATCCTAAACAGGAAACAAGGGATAAACCTCTACTCCTATTCAAAAAACCTATCTACTCCTACTGAAGAAAGAAAATAAATAAATAACATTTCAGAGTTTAGGCGGAGACGTTAGAAGTATAGAGTTGAAGTAGACTTTAGAAGGAACCGGAAACCCAATCCTAAACCGGAAACAAGGGATAATCCTCTACTCCTATTCAAAATCCTATCTACTCCTACTGAAGGAAGAAAATAAATAAATAACATTTCAGAGTTTAGGTGGAGACGTTAGAAGTATAGAGTTGAAGTAGACTTTAGAAGGAACCGGAAACCCAATCCTAAACCGGAAACAAGGGATAAACCTCTACTCCTATTCAAAAAACCTATCTACTCCTACTGAAGGAAGAAAATAAATAAATAACATTTCAGAGTTTAGGTGGAGACGTTAGAAGTATAGAGTTGAAGTAGACTTTAGAAGGAACCGGAAACCCAATCCTAAACAGGAAACAAGGGATAAACCTCTACTCCTGTTCAAAAGACCGGAGTGGAATATGAACCGGGCGATAAAAATTCCCAATCCACGCACGAATCGGATGAAAATATATGTTGAAATGTCATTTTGCAGAATATATATCTATGGCACCAATTTCATCGACAGGCACCTACCGAAAAATTTTACTAATATCTCTTCCAGGCCCTAAATTATAAATTTCTCATTTATTATCCTTTTCATCATGTATCATATAGATATTATTAATGGACACGAGCCAGACGCCTGATGAAGACCAGTGTTTATTTAGTCGAAACGTTATATATCATATTTTTATTACTTCAAGTCTCCCATAACTATCTCGTTGGTAAAACCGTTCAAAGTGTTTCCTGTGCGCCATTACAACTGAATTTTAAAGAGAATTTATGGACACCCTATATATATATATATATATATATATATATATATATATATATATATATATATATATTGATGCATATTTCATTAAATAATATAGACAAGGTTTGTCTATTTATTTTAAGTAAATTCCTTTCATATCGTCTGATGAGCTTAATAACATTATTATTGAAAGACGAATTGATACATATTGATACATGTTTTTTTTTAATCCTATCTAAGCTTTCGGCTTACATAAGCCATTATCAAAGATGACAATTACATTTCAATATATCAAACAATACACGAACAATAATGATAGTCTGTTTTTGTTGCATGAAAGATTTCCGAGCAACGACAAACTCGTGCATACGAGACGCGGAAGCGAAAATCGCACTTCAACTCGTGACGTCACACATGAAACCACGCGAGAGGGAAAAATCTTCCATCTTGAATTCTTCAAGTCAAGAGTTATTCACTATTTATCCTTCTTACCGCCATCTCTTTTGTGCTTCATTACCATTTCAATTGTACCCCTCTAGCTTGAGTGGCTCTTAGCCATGTACTGGGTAAAATTGCATAAAAATGATTTATTGCAAGAAGATGAAAGCATTGTTGTTAACGAAAGGGAGAGCCCAACATGAAAATTACATATTGGGGATACCAAAGTCAAGCAGCAGCAACAATTTACAGAACTTTCAGAAGAGATGGAACCAGGAAAATGTTCCCTAAAAATAGATCTCTGGAGATAATCTGCATTGATATTTTTTGCAATAATGTTCACCCTGTACAAGTCCCAAGAGTCACTTGAGGTAGAGGTTTACAGAGCAAGAAGTACAGATAAGCAAACGGTTAACCTTAGACTTGAACAGGTTAAGATTATAGTAATCTCGGAAGCAACCTCTTGGGAGTCAGTTTCACAAGTCAGTGGTTCTTGGGAAGAGGCTGTGTGAGTGGAACTTATATCAAATTGCCAGTAACATCAGCTAGCCTCGTGTGTGGCCGATTTAACCCTTTATACACAGAACAAAATAATACTGTATTATTTTGCTTATCGAGTCTATGGTACCTCTTTTATGACATATTCTTCTCAACGGGTACCTCAGACTGTCAGGCTGGATGAAAGAATGCGTGGGAGCAAAACGATTTTTATTATAGGGTATCCAAACGTATTATAACATATTCTACTCAAATAGTATGCCAACACAAGCGATTTTTTGCAGTGGTGTTCACTAAGTACAAGCCCCGAGAGCCACTCGAGGTAGAGGGTTAGAGAGTAAGAGGCACAACCTATGCGGATATGTGGGAAATATAACGGTTAACCTTAGACTTGAACAGGTTAAGATTGTAGTAATCCGGGAAGCAATCTCTTGGGAGTCGGTTTCACAAGTCAGTGGTTCTTGGGAAGAGGTTGTGTAAGTGGAACTTATATCTCCTCAATGGAAAACAAACGGAATGAGGGTGATTCGCTACAATGTGGGTGACATATTGGGTCTTAGCCGTGAAGATTAGAACTAGTGGAACAAAAAAGTGTAGTTCATTTGAACACTCAATGGAAATGTCGATAGAGAAGCGAGAGGCTTGTGACGTCTCGTCTGTGAGAAAAAAAAAACGGTTTGCTGGATGGAAAAAATAATTCGTCACATAGACAAAAGAGTAAGCAGGAAGAAAATAATGTCTGAAGACGTCTTCCATATTTACAAAGTGTACCATTTGTTCATGCTTTGAATATTGTTGCTAAATATAATCCGGTGCTCCTGTTATATTATTTAGGAATCCTCGATTAAATCCAAAGAAGAATCTTTAATAACATTGGTCCTCACCTGGCATCTCAGCTTCAGTCATTTTACTGTTGCCGTAATATAGCTTCCCTGTGCCTTTTAAATATTCTCTGTGTTATTTAAATATTCCTAGTCTTTCTCTATGGCTTTTATACAGGTTGCATATTATATTTTAATTTCGCGCATGCGCTTTGTTTCTTTTTGATTTTGTCGACTGAACAGTATAGTAGGGTCATTTGGAAATCGTCTGTTAGGAAAAGAGCACCATGACGCGATTCACTCCGCCAGAAATTTGGAAACGGAAGGTGTACTGCTTGGCATGCGCCCCGGAAGCTCCAAATACGAAAATTTCAGAGTGTTTGTGCGTCAATCTGAGGACAGTGCAGAGTGATTACGAAGGTATAGCATCTCGGAAAACTCACTCTGATCGTTCTGATAAGAAAAGAATTCCCTAATTTGTGAGTGAGGGCCTCAGACTCAACACGGGGGCCTACATCAAGTGCCTTGCGGAGGTACAGCTGCTCTCGGTTAAGAGGGTGGCTGCCCGAAGACCCTATGTCAGACAACAGGAATCTACACCATGCCGCACAAGTAGGAGAACCCTGTCATGGCTGTCAGACAATTTCTGCGACCGCATCACCCCTTACATCTGGTCAATTAACTCCCCAGACTGCAACTCTCTTGGTTATTATGTGTGGGGTGCAGTTGAGCGAGTGACCAACAAAATTCCTTATAACACCAAAGATGAACTGAAGGCAAGGATTATGGAAGTATTCACCAACTTAAATAAGGAGACCATTCAGAAGAGTTGCAGAAAATTCCGAAATTGTCTGGAGGCCGTAGATGAAGCCAATGGCGATTTTATTGTATAAATTTACTCTTCAGTATTTCAAGGTAGTTTTTTTTTGTAACTCTGGTAAATATATCTGTTAAAATGAGATGTCAGTGTTAATCTCATTTTTGCATAACTTAGACGACAATTTATCCATCGCACCCTGCATATATATATATATATATATATATATATATATATATATATATATATATATATATACTTTTATATTTACACACACTCTATCTCTGATATTGAGCACTTTATTCCATAAATATAGCACACCTTAAGACTATATTTCTTTATATATATATATATATGCAGGATGCGATTTTCATATATATATATATATATGCAGGATGCGATTTTCATATATATATATATATATATGTGTGTGTGCAGGATGCGATTTTCATATATATATATATATACATATATATGCAGGGTGTAGTTTTCAGTTAACAGTATGAAAATAAGGTTCTCTAAATTCTTCCAGTTGCTAAGGACATTTTGTTTTGTTATTATTAATTACTTTGCTTTAATAAATTCATTTTTCGTTTTTGCCTTGAAAAATTCCACATTGGACGAAACGCATCGGCATCTATTACAGTTTTCCTATTGTCTTTTATATATATATATATATATATATATATATATATATATATATATATGTGTGTGTGTGTGTGTGTGTGTGTGTGTGTGTGTGTGTGTGTAGAGAGAGAGAGAGAGACAGAGAGAAAGAGAGATGAGAATTTATCCATCGCCCCCTGCATATACAGGTAGGTTAATTTTTCTGATGAACTCTCATCTAATGTATCTAGACTTTATAAATTTAAGCGCAGTACTCGATTGGCGGCAAGGTCTCATAATTTTATAGTCAAACTGGCTAGTTATAACCGTAAGTTTTATGCTGACAGTTTCTCTCTCGTGGAGCTCTTTTCGGGTCTATTATTTTGAGGTCAAGTTTGAACTTCAAAAATTTAAATGCAACGGCAATTTTTATCGTCTGTCTTCTTAATTCCTGTTCTTTTATTGTTCTCGCTTCTTAATAATGTTTTGCTTCCACGACGTCTTGCTAGGATTGAAATGATTAAAAAAGATCGGGGTTTTCCTTGACACCGCTATTATTTTAACTACCTTCACTCCTCGGCAATGTTTATTATGTTTTTAATTTAAAAACCGATGATTACAATTCTAATAAAACCTAAATCTATGAAAGTGAATTTATACATTTTCTTTGTTCTTGAGAACAAAAATAACAATCAGTAATATATTATTTATTATATTATTGAAATGGTTAGCAAAATAATTGCCAATTAATTAAAACTTTATAAAATGGTAAAGAAGGATTTTCTTTTATATTGTATTATATATATATATATATATATATATATATATATATATATATATATATAGAGAGAGAGAGAGAGAGAGAGAGAGAATTTTTTCTGTTTATACATTCTTTTTATAGATACAAATATTTAAGTAAATGCTCTGTTTATAATAAAAAGTATTAAACAAAATTGACCGGCCTGAATGTAAACAAATGACACGCCATGAGCAGATATGAATGTACGTGAGAGATTCATGGAAGATTGAAGTTTAAATACAGTAAATTCGACCACACTAACCGAACGCTCCTCTGTGGCCTAATTGGTAATGGCACGTCAAACTAAATGACGGTTCCGCATAGGATGCAGGTTCGAATCCTGTTGGAGGACGAATATTTCCTTTTAAAATTTTTCGGACATTCAGGCCGGTAAATGTTGTTTAATACAGTTTATTATAAACAGGATATTTACTTAAATATTTGTATCTATAAAAAGAATGTATAAACATAAAACTGTCTCAAAATAATTGTCGGACTTTGTCCATTTCATAATATATATATATATATATATATATATGACTTTCCCGTCGTATGAGGGCCAAGCAGCTCAGTTCCTAGGAACCGATAGCCCAGCACAAGAAATTTGATCATAGTGGTAAAGGCTTTGTGCAGAACCATCCAGACTTTTTGAAGGGCCGAATACAGAGATCCAAACGACCCTCCGCAGGTTTTGAAATTAGAGTTGTCCTTCTCCTAGACCAGTTGCCGTACAAGGCTATAGAACCCAGTCTGTCTGCTATTTACCCATAGCTGGAGGGAAAAGAAGAGGATTTATACCTTGCTCAAGGGTATTAGCAAGAAAGTGAATGTAATGGATTCGACTGGAATTCGAACTCGGCTCTCCGATTCCTCAATCCAAGCCGCTATCCACTACTCCACCGTGCTTCCTCAGGTTCGTTCTCTCTCTCTTTTTTCTCTCTCTCTCTCCCTCGCTCTATTTCTTTCTCTATTTCTTCGTCTTTTTTCTCTCTCCCTCTCTCTATTTCTTTCTATATTTCTTCGTCTTTTTTATAGTCTTCTCTCTCTATATTTCTTCTTCTTTTTTCTCTCTCCCTCTCTCTATTTCTTTCTCTATTTCTTCGTCTTTTTTCTCTCTCTCTCCCTCTCTCTATTTCTTCGTCTTTTTTTATAGTCTTCTCTCTCTATATTTCTTCGACTTTTTTTCTCTCCCCCCTCTTTCTCTATTTCTTTCTCTATTTCTTCGTCTTTTTTCTCTCTCTCCCTCTCTCTATTTCTTCGTCTTTTTTTTACAGTCTTCTCTCTCTATATTTCTTCGTCTTTTTTTCTCTCCCCCTCTTTCCCTATTTCTTCGTCTTTTTTTATAGTCTTCTCTCTCTCTATTTCTTCGTCTTTTTTCTCTCCCCCTCTCTCTCCATTTCTTTCTCTATTTCTTCGTCTTTTTTCTCTCTCTCCCTCTCTCTATTACTTTCTCTATTTCTTTGTCTTTTTTCTCTCTCTCCCTCTCTCTATTTCTTTCTCTATTTCTTCGTCTTTTTTCTCTCTCTCCCTCTCTCTATTTCTTCGTCTTTTTTCTCTCTCTCCCTCTCTCTATTTCTTTCTCTATTTCTTCCTCTTTTTTATAGTCTTCTCTCTCTCTCTCTCTTTATTTCTTTCTCTATTTCTTCGTCTTTTTTTATAGTCTTCTCTCTCTCTTTTCTTCGTCTTTTTCTCTCCCCCCTCTCTCCCATTTCTTTCTCTATTTCTTCGTCTTTTTTCTCTCTCCCTCTCTCTATTTCTTTCTCTATTTCTTCGTCTTTTTTCTCTCTCTCCCTCTCTCTATTTCTTTCTCTATTTCTTCGTCTTTTTTCTCTCTCTCCCTCTCTCTATTTCTTTCTCTATTTCTTCCTCTTTTTTATAGTCTTCTCTCTCTCTCTCTCTTTATTTCTTTCTCTATTTCTTCGTCTTTTTTTATAGTCTTCTCTCTCTCTATTTCTTCGTCTTTTTTCTCTCCCCCTCTCTCTCCATTTCTTTTTCTATTTCTTCGTCTTTTTTCTCTCTCTCACTCTCTCTATTTCTTTCTCTATTTCTTCGTCTTTTTTCTCTCTCTCCCTCTCTCTATTTCTTTCTCTATTTCTTCGTCTTTTTTATAGTCTTCTCTCTCTCTCTTTATTTCTTTCTCTATTTCTTCGTCTTTTTTATAGCCTTCTCTCTTCCTCTCTCTATTTCTTTCTCTATTTCTTCGTCTTTTTTTCTCTCTCTCCCTCTCTCTATTTCTTTCTCTATTTTTTCGTCTTTGAATTCACTCTCTTCTCTCTTCGCCTGTGTCTCTCCCTTTACGTCTTTGCTTATCTCCCCGTCTCTTTTGCCTTTCGTCCCTTGATCGTCTCCAATGCAACCCCCCCTTGCAGACACGCTTATTTCTTCACACGTCAGCAAGCGCTGCATCAGCGATCGATCACTCCCTAAGGACCAACTGTCGGTTCCAGATATCCAGCCTCCCATACATTGATTCTTAGAGACGAACTTGGGCATCCCACTGTCACAACGCATACTAGTCTACATAGGCTGAAAAACAGGGTGGAGCTGCTGCCGTTGTCGGTGCTGCAGTGGAGGGAGGAGTTGGAAGAAGAGAAAAGCCACAGCCCGCGAGAACACAACTTGGACTGAGAAGGCGATACAAAGCGAAGAGAGGGTCGTGGTAGCGCAGGGATTGCACCAACGAGAAGCAATTAAAACAACAGTCGTAGTCGGCTAAAGCGAATGCTCCTCTACTTCTGAGTGTATCTTCCTTGACACGCGAATTTTATCAGGATTGCTTCTGTGCGTGTGTGAGCTTCTCTCTCTCTCTGTGTGTGTGTGTGTGTGTGTGTAAGAGAGAGAGAGAGTGAGAGAGAGTGAGAGAGAGAGCAAGTGTGTTATCGTATCTATGCGTATGAATAGGAGGGCGCGCGCATGCGTGAGCATAGGTATCTATATGCGCATGCGTGTGTGTGATAATTGTACACTCGATCTGATATTCTTTTTTCATAGATGAACGTAGGTTTGTGCAAATCGAATTATGAAAATATATTTTCGTATATTAAATCAAAATGGGCCTCAATTTACTTGAGTGTATATATATAGACCCATTTTCATTTAACGCATATGTATACATATATATATATATATATATATATATAAAGGGTACATTATCTATATTTATACATATCTACATCTGTCTATCTACTTACCTATCTCTCTCTCTCCCTCTCTCTCTCTCTCTATATATATATATATATATATATATATATATATATATAGATAGATAGATAGATAATGTACAATTTATTCATATATATATATACATTATCTATATTTATGCATATCTGTCTATCTATCTTCTCCATATATATATATATATATATATATATATATATATGAAAGGTACATTATCTATATTTGTATATATATATATGTATACATATATATATAAAGGGTAATTTATCTATATTTATACATATCTATCTGTCTGTCTCTGTGTCTAATTATATATATATATATGTATATATATATACATCTATAAATATAGACAGATGTAGGTATGCATAAATATAATGTAAATTCTTTATATATATATATATATATATATATATATATATATATATAGATAATGTACCCCTAATTATATATATATATATATATATATATACATCTAGAAATATAGACAGATGTAGGTATGCATAAATATATGTGCCCTTTATATATATATATATATATATATATATATAGATAATGTACCCTTTATATATATATATATATATATATATATATATATATAGGTACATTATCTATATTTATGCATATCTATCTATCTTTTATATATATATATATATATATATATATGTTTAAAGGCTACATTATCTATATTCATATAAATACATATAGTTTTTAAAAACTTAGTGAGGAAGATTACTCAGTCTTAGAGATTGTGCACACTATATAAATATGGTTTCTATCTATCTATCTATCTCAATGTATTCAGATCTATCTATCTATCTATCTATCTATCTATCTATCTATCTATCTATTGTAGAATAACTAAGACACCTCCGGTAACACAGTTGTATTAAGCAAGACGCCTTAAATAAAGAACTCAAATTGAGTCAGCAGAAATCCGTTGGAGTCAGTCGGGGAAAATTTATAATCACGTCACGGCGTATAGTCTAAGTTAGACATAACAACATAACCGACACCAAAAATTAATTAGATTCAAAGGTTTTAGGAATTTTAAAGATCGTCTGAAAAAAATCTACGGAAGTTCCTAATTTCCGTAGAGTTTTGGATTACAAACTCACTTCCAAATTTTAATATATCATGAATAAATCGAAATAAAGTTTATATCTTTTGTGTTTGATAAATTGAATGGAAAATATATTAAAACCAAAATTTTAGTTATGACTCACCACAAGCTAAATATTCATTTTTTACTGTATTTGATACGTAAAAAACTGTTTAAAAAATTGTAAAAGATTACAAAAAAGGCTACTCAATGAATAAGATTTGTTAGATTATAATTAACAAAAACATTAAAAGTGTGGATAACACTAGAAGACTGTTGGGCACAAATTATAAGACAAATTATTTTAAATTTGCATTGTTTATTGCAAATCACATTAAAATTATTGAACTGTATAATATAGAATTTTTTTATTTAGCGATGTAAAATATTTTTAAATAAAAAATATAATTAAAATATTACGCTCTACGTTGTATCGGGCACTTTAAAAAAAAATAAATGCTAAAGAACTGGATTCTTAATATCTCTGTTCTTTCTTTTTATATATATATATATATATATATATATATATATATATATATATATATATATATATATATATATATATAAAGGAAGAAAGAAAGAACATTAAGATATATAATCCGGTGTTCTTATTGATATTTTTATTTTTACAAAACAGTGCTCAATGTAAATTTACAGATCATAAATATTATAAATTAACTGATTGAAAATATGGTTTCTTTGCTAGACAGTAATAACCATGTTTCAAAAACTGAACCTAATTAAATTAAAAGCATTAGTTCTGTCTCATCTTCAAGCGAATGAGACAGAACTAATTCTTTTAATTTAATTATATGATTAAATTTGAAGTTTTTAGCTTCAGTTTTTGAAACATGGTTATTACTGTGTAGCGAATAAACCGTATTTTACAGAGCATAAATATTATAAATTAACTGATTTAAAATTTGTTTTTTTTCGCTACACAGTAATATCCATGTTTCAAAAACTAAAGCTAAAAACTTCAAATTTAATTATATAATTAAGTTAAAAGCATTAGTTTCATCTTCAAGCGAATTTGGAATAACTTATTTTTATATTTTCTGAGTTTTAAACGCACATATAAATTCATAATTTCCTGTTTCCAAGGATACAGAGAAATCCAATCATTCAGACAGGGGCGGTAGCGTGTTCATTTTTATTAACTATTGTTGTATCAATTATGAGTTACGTTCGAAAAAGAGGTTAAGTTTAGGGAGAGTAGGGGTGTATTTTTCAACGAATTCTGACATCCGTTAAATGCATGTCGTCTGTTTTTTTTTGTTTTTTATAACGGCAAAAAGTTTTTCGGCATTTTTTTCGTACTTGTATACTTAAAGATTCTTTTTTGGGGGTGTTTGGGTTAGAATATGTTTTATTTAACTACAATTTTAAAATAGCTTTACTCTTAATTACTAATTTCTTTTTAAAACAAGTAAATGTAATAGAATTACTTAAATTATTTAATTTTTTTTCATATCAAATATAAGTATGTATATCACCAGTTCTCATTTTATTTTATTTTATTTTTAAATATTATTTGAGGAAAATTTTTGACAAAGACGGCAAAGAAGAGCTATTTCATTTCTCTGATTCAGTAAATTTTTATTTTTTATAAACTTAGTAATATATTGTTTCTCATGTATGCACAAAGGACATGGGTCATTTAATCGTCTACATATTCTCTCTCTCTCTCTCTCTCTCTATCTATCTATATATACATACATACATACATATATATATATATATATATATATATATATATATATATTTATTTATTTTAAAAAAAATTATAACCTAAATATGTTATAAAATCACTACAAAAATAGCCATTTTGTTTCAACACCCTCGGTGTCTTATCAAGTGATGATGTTGAGTGTAAAATAAATGGTTATATATATATATATTAGAGTGATGATGTTGAGTGTAAAATAAATGGTTATATATATATATATTAGAGAACTTTCCGGTTAGCAAAGTCTACATTAGTGCTTCTAAACACACATCTTCGACTGTGGCTGAATGTTTAACAGCACATCAGGCTATATGACGGTTTCCTTATGGGATAAAAGTTAAATTCCTGTCGGAGAATGCATATTTTCTGCGAAATTTCTCGAACATTCCAGCCAGTAAATGCAATGAATACTGTTTAATTAAGATTATATTTCTCTCATTTTCACTCTCTGTAACCTCGTGTTTAGTGGCATTGCGACCTTACATGGGGTGAAAAAAATAATGTATTAGTTTTATCACATTTTTACGCCAGAAAATTTCTCGGACATTCGGACCGGTAAATATCGTTAATACTGTTTATTATAAACAGAGCATTTACTTAAATATTTGTATCTATAAAAAGAACGTATAAACATAAAAAATGTCTTAAATAATTGTCGGACTTTCTCCATTTCATAATATATATATATATATATATATATATGGTTTGTTTTTTTGTAGCTTTCACAGTTAAATTTCTGTTTCTGACACGAACTCAGTCCACACGGGGTTTGATAAGACAGTCGACTGATCTCTTCGTCTGCCAAAATAGACTAATCCCTTATGAAGTGATTTTGGATTTTATTGTTTATTAATTATTTGCTCCGTAATAATAAATAAAGTGAGCTCTTTTTGTGGATCAGGGTTGATATTTTATATTACTAGGATCCAGTTGGATTATATACCAACGGATTTATTACCTTTATTATATATATATATATATATATATATATATATATATATATATATATATATATATATATACACATATTTACACACACACACACAAATATATATATATATATATATTGTTTAAAATAGGCCATATATATTCAATTCAATGCTCTAACATCTTTTTGATATCCCCAGCCCATGGAGTATACCCTACACAGATCCGGATTGGGACCCTAAAATGGTAGTTCTGCTGGGGCCATATTTCTCTGGGGTCTAGTAGCGCACCTTCTAAATTTTTAAACACTTCAGTTTTTCAGTGCCGACAATATATATATATATATATATATATATATATATATATATATATATATATATCCTCTATCTCTGATACTGAACCCTTTTTACCTGAAATATACTATGTCTTAAAAGCATACTTTTTATCACACACACATATATATATATATATATATATATATATATATATATA